TAATATGTATCAAAAATTTCAATTTTTTAAAAAATGTCTCAGAACCCCATTTTCCTAGCAAACTTCCCATATGTTAATTAACGGTTAATTAACCAAATCATAAATAACCGTTATTTTACCATCCCTATATAGGAGGTATCAAAAGTCACCGGGCACTTAAAAATTAAAAAATCAACGGAAATATGTTCTTCCTCTTTTAGTAAATAAGTAAAATTGTGCGTCATATCGAATTACATTTATCTTTAAATATCCGATGAGCCATAAAATATTTATTATACATTTAGTGCAACATTTTCGTGTGTTAATAAATTAACATCGAGTCAATCTTCACAAATATAAATGTAATTAATCTAAAATTTTGCGATATATGTAATTCGTTACAATGCATATTTTACTAAAAGTGATTTAAATAATAAAATAAAAACTTTAATTTGAAGAACATATGGGGTGAGTGCTGCGAAAAGGGACCAAATTGATCCAGAACTTTAATTATTTTTAAAAATGTTTTTTTTTACAATTTGGTCACTTTTCGCAGCACTCACCCCATATTTCCTAATTTTTAAGTGTCCGGTAACTTTTGATATCCCACTGTACAAGTTATTGTCTTTAATTAATAAAAAAAAAAAAAAACAAAAAGGAAAGTGACATAAAATTACCAGTTCATGCTGGCAAGTCGTCAATTTTCTTTTTATTCATTTTTATAACTCCAATGTTTATAAACGCGTAAGGAAAGAAAAAAAATTACAACGGTAAAACAATAATTTATTGATCAGTCATTATTACAATCATTTCATAAATATTTAATCATGAAAAAAAGTATAATATTACATTTCTATTTCTCTTCCACCAAAAAAAACCAGATAAATTTACAATAATAAAAAAATATTTTACAAAAAAAAAAATTAATTAATTTCTAAATCCCACCAAAAAAAAGGAAAAGCAAAAATACATATATATTATTTTAATCAAGATGTTCTACTATTATTATTCGAATTTTGACTATTGTTGGATTATTGCAGATTTGGATGGTAAATATAGCAGATCTTTTTGAGGAGGCTGATGTTATTCTTCATTGAATTCACTAAATTTTTGTTAAAGAACCAAATTAATAAGAGTATGAAAAGAGAATAAAGAAAACCTCCATTATTTAAACTAACCAATAATCTATAATAAAATAGAATTTGTTAAACAAACAAATATATTAAACTCATATCATTTCAGGTAAAAATTTGTATCTCACCTTCGTGATAAGTATCATTGACTAATAAATCACTATCAGCAATGAACGAACTATTAATTTGCTGTTGTTGATTCAAATGGATATTTAGAGAAGATTTGGCAGAGTGATTTGACCCGTATCCACTTGTAGCTATTGAATTCCCAACAATACCTACTGTAGCAGTTGGAACATTTGTCATAGACAAATGTGATATTTCTTGAGAAATTTCCGGTAATGTAGTTATTAATCCATTTTGTAACGGAGAAGAAGGAACTATACATGGCAACGTAAAATTATTATTACCCAAATTAATATTATTAGTGTTGTTGTTGTTGTTGTTGTTGTTGTTGTTGCTATTGTTACTGTTATTGTTGTTGTTATTGTTGCTGCTGCTGTTGTGATTGTTGTTGTTATTGTTGCTGCTGCTGCTGTTGTTGTTGTTGTTATTATTGTTGCTGTGGCTATGATTGTTACTACTACGTTTATTAATAAAGAATCTCCTTTTCGTTGAAGGACTTTGTGATGTTTGATGTGCGGCAGGTGTGTTTGACGGTTGTGACGAATCACCTCCTCCTAAAATGGTAGGTGACGTTTGAGGATTTGAAGAGTGCATTGGAGAATTCGTTGAACCAATTAAAACATCTTGCGATGATGATTGTTGACAAGAATATGATCCATTTAAAGAAGTATTTTCTATTGTTTGTGAGATAACTTTATCTTCCTTAGTCGTTTGCGGTGTCGCACCCGTTTGGCCGCTTTTACGAAAAAACACACCACGTTTAGGTGTAATCATTTTAATTGATACACTTCCACCATGAGTTGTATCGCTCATACTTCCACTTTGCATCGCATCTTGTGACGCTGATTTTGACATCATTGTAGTTTGTGTTGTAGTTTGTGGTGAAGCTTGTGGTGAATTTTGTGATGAAGACTGAGGCGGAGTTGCTGGTGTAACTTTAATTCCCGTTACATTAGCTGTATGAAAATTGACAGGAAAGTTTTTATGTGCATTAGAATTAACGTTGGTGATTACATTAACGAGGTTGTGACTTTTCTTAATATTACCATTGTTATGTGCAACATTATTTGCCCGATTCTTGAATAACGATCCGGCCCATTGTTTAGCCCATCCAATTCTCTGTCTAACCGCTCTTTTTGCCATCGTGACATTAACTTTTCCTGAATTTTTCATCAAGAATAACATTGAGCAATTGCTGGCAAATAATAACACCAAAAATAAATCAAACGAACAAAATCGTATAAAAAACATAAACATCGTGACTAAACACAGCACTTTTCGTCTTTGTCTAACGAATGATATTTCTCGCAGCACTAAGAAAGAAAATGAATATCTTTAATAAATATTAATTATTAATTTTTTTAAACCCCCCCCCCCCACTACAAAAATATTCAATTTAAAAATACCTGCAAAAGAAGCTTTTTTAGAAGCCTTTGGATCAATTTCCGGATAAGTTAATAAATCAATGAATTGCATTGGAATATCCAATATGGTCTGATTTTTATTATTAGAAACAGCATTGGCATTAACTTGTTTTGAAGAAGATGATGAAACGACCGCAGCTACATTCATTCCTTCCAAAGGTGGACATTCTAACCATCCCATCAATGAATCCAACACAGAAGCGCCCAAAGAAATCCATTCATTCACTGCAGGACCATTTTGAACATTATTCTCAACACAAACTTCATTATCTGATCCATCAGATGTTTGTATTTCTTCTGAATCATCAGAATTATTTACAGTAAAATCTAATTGTTCATGAGTCATATCATGGTCTTCTCCCATTGTAACCATTTTTGATTTTCCTTTGATTTTTGAAATGTTTGTGGTGGTTGTCATTGATGATAATATAGCAATATTTTCAGAATGTGTTGAAAAAGAGGATGAATTACTGCTTATATTGATCTCTGGTGATAATATTGGATAATTTTCATTATTATCGTTATCTTGATCATCCATTTCGTTTGAAGAATTTTCTTCTTCCGGTGTAATTGATGTATCTGAAGCATACCCGTCCACGTCTTCATCAAAGGGTAAAGTCAACTAAATGTGAAAAAATAATAGGATATAAGTTTTATAAGAAAATTAACAATTTTAAAAATAAATTTAATAATTGCTTACATTTTCATTTCTTTCACACCAAGATTTTAGTTGTTTTAATATTTTCTTTGAAGTCTTTTTTCCTTCTACCTCTGGTAATACCTCATGATGTAACATTTCAAAAGCTTCTTGAATTTGACTTAAATCATCGTGATCTGAAACTGAGATTGAAAATTCAAATATAAATTATTGCTAAGCCACTGATGGTATAAAAACCTGTTTTTTAATTTTTTTTTTGATTATTATTTTCTCCGCTTTTTTTACTTACCTCGGTAATGTGGAAAACCTTTAGTTATAATTCTATATTTAGTAAAATGTTGCCGTCTTTTATTATTGTGATTATTATTATTTGGTTGAGCAGAAGTGTTATTATTTCCGCCTCTTTGTTGTAAAATAAAATAACTGGATTCTTTTATTGATTTCCAATTTGAACGCCCCAGACTACCAACTAAACTTGGTCTAACAAACATAATACAGTGATTAATTTACAATGAATAATAGTGGAGGTTGAGAAGGCTGAATATAATGAGATATAAAGTTGTCTTATTAAACACGTGCTTTTAAAGAAAAATTTTGAAAATGTAAGGGAAAAAAATGAAATAAAGAATATATACAAAAACAGATAAATAAATAAATAAATATTTATTGTTTTAAATGTTTTTTTTTTTTTTGAACTTTGGACCATATGAAACCAAAAGAATCTTAAGTTTTCAGGATTTCAGGTGATACACATAAAAAAAACGTTTAACAAACTTTTTTAAAAGTGAAGTTTATTATTAGAAAAAAAACAAAAGTGAAAAAAACACTTTAAAATAAAGTGTTTTTCCCTCTTTTATTCTTTAAATTGAAAAAAAATAAAAAATGTATATATATAATTTCTTCTAAATAAAGAAGGGGTAAAAAAAAACCCCACGAAATGAAATTATACAAAAATAATGATGTGAATTAAATAAAACTGTTTATAGCCGACAATATCAAAAGTACTTGTTTTTGACACGTTTATATCTCATTTGCGGATAAAACCCTTTTTGTCGGAGTTGCGGCAGAGTATGCACAGTAGAAATATAAAATTGAATTTATTATTATTTATATTATTTATTGTATGTACTCCTTAATTATATCGTAGATCGCAATTCACATTGCATTTACACTTATCGTTAATAGGAAAAACGCTTGTTTTTTTTAATATGAGCAATTTCATATGTTTGATAAACCTTATTTAGCCGTTATGAGCGGAATACTATCTATGGGGAAAATATGGTATTATAATTGATTTTTTGATTGAAATAATGTCATAGGGATACTTTATGTCATTTCCCACCAAAAAAATCTGGATCTTCAGGTGAACAACCGTGCACTTTATTCCCCCATATCTATTTTAGAATTTTTTTTTTTTGATTTCTAAAGGTGACTAAATAAAGTCGACCCGAGGAGGTACCACGTGACAAAGATACAAAGATACAAAGTTACAAAAGATGTAATAGATGTAAACTGACGCCAAACGTTACGTACCTTACGCTTTTGTACTGTTACACCGTTATCTGTGTACCAAAGCAATTGATCGAATCTTTTATCTTTTAATTTGCTCCTTAGATTAATTAAACCTTTGTCATAATATAATATTAGTAGTTTATTTGATTGGATAGCAAAGTGCATTTCTTACATTTTCGATTACCTATTAATTTTCAACTATTAAAAAATGAATGGACGCAAATTATATCTTTTAATACTTATTTATTATCAGAAATCTTGAAAAATTCGATATCAATCACTGCGCATGTTCTGTTCATACAAGCAAATTTTTTTTTATTATGTAGTATATATATGTAGATCAAAATCGGCTAATATTAATTTAAATTGATGATAGTTAAATTATAATTCAGGCCAAAATTTTCATAATGCCGGTCCAAATTCGATTAAAATTGAAAATTCGAACCATCCCCTGGTCAAATGTATTGGACCACGTGATTTTTGTTACAACAATTGGCGTAATTTTACCGATCATAATTTGTTAACCCAATGCATAAAAACGAGTCATTTTTTTTTCCTGCATAGCCACGAACTTCTAGTATTCAAATATGGTGTTTTTTAAAATGCCTAAAACCCGAGAACTCTGAATTTGAGCGAGGTGAAATAATTGGCCTTTGGAAAGGTGGTTATGTTGAGCGAGATATTATGGATATTCTTGACCATCATAAGTCAACCATTCATAATATTATTGAAAAATACAAAATAGAAAACCAAATTTCCAATGCTTCCAGGTCTGGCAGACCTAATAGAGAGAAACATTAGATATCTTGTAAAAACTGTTAAAAAGAATAGACAACAATCCTTAGATGAAATTATAGAAAAATTCAATCAGACATCAATAGTTTCAGTGATTCTAGTACTATAAAGTGTACTTTACATAATAAAGATTTTTATGGTCGTGCTGAAAAAAGAAAACCTTTAGTTTCTGAAATTAACCATAAATAAAGGTTAGAATGGTATCGTATTAGGAGAGATTGGGATTCTGAGTAGGATACAATAATATGGAGTGATGGGTCTCACTTTTTATTATTTCAAAATGATGCTCATCACTGGATCTGACGTCATCCTTATGAAAAATATAATATAAGTTGTTTAATTCCTACAGTAAAATCAGGAAATAAAGGTATTATGGTATGGTGGTGTTTTACAAAAAATAAGATTGGGCCTTTAATTCAAGTCTTTGGTAGAATCACATGTTCTGTATATAAAGAAGTTTTAAAAAACAATCTTTTATCCTTTATTGATGAGTTGAAAATAAAGATGCTAGCTAAAATTCCCTCAAAATAATTTCGTCATATTTCTTATTATGTTTTTAATATAGTTTCAGCTAATTTCAGGTTTTGGGATTTCGTCGTACCCTCACTATATTTTAATATAATTTCGGCTATTTATTAATTGCCTTTTTTGAGTTTCGTCCCTCATCTTTAGTTTGAAACCAATTTAGAGTATATTTTTCAAAATGATAATGCTCCTATCTATTGGGCAAAAGTAGTTAAGAAATGGATAGAAGAAAATGAAATAACAAATATTTTATGATCCGCACAGTCACCTGATCTTAATCCAATTGAGAATTTATAGCATATTTTGGAAAGAAAGGTTTGTAAACCAAAGATAGGCACTATAATTAAGAAGTTGCAAATTAGTTGCAACTCCTTGTAAATTTATTTTAATATAAAATTTCATAAATAGTTGCAACTCAAAGTGTTGCAACTTAAGTTACAACTAGTTAAAATTTTTAAAAATAATTATAGGAACCATTTTTACTGTAAACATAAGCCATATCCAAAAAATCTTAATGAATTAATGGTTATTTTGAAAGAAAAATAATATAAAATTAAACCAGAAATTCTAGAAAATTTAGTAAAAGTATGCTAAGAAGAGTTCAAGCTGTAATAGATAACAATAACAATCTGACTAAATATTAATATTATAAATAAAAATTTATACTTTTATGATGTTACTGGGAATATATTCTCTTTTTATCGCATATGTTTTGCTAAGTTACTTTACTATGATAAGTAAATTTCTTATTATCAGACTTTACAACCTTAGAGAATCTTATGTCTTACAGGTATCCAGAATGTTTTAGAATTACTTTACTTGACTTTATAAACTTAAAGGTTTAAGGACTTAGGAAAAAATGTAGAAAATTTGTTTATTTTAAATAACAAACTCAAAAGTAAGTTAGTGTAATAGTTTACGATCAAATCCTAGATGATGAACACATAGAAGGGTAAAGTAATTATTTTTCAAAGCTGATTCCTTTATTTATTACTTGAACTTGAAATAAAACTAAAACTCACAAATGAGTTATAAAAACTTGCAAGAGAGTTTTAAACTCGCAAAATAAGTTCCTTTATAATTTAAACAAAAAGCTATTCTATTTATACAAAATTAATTTGCTATGGCTACCGTAAACGGTTGACTAAAGTAGCCAGGTATTTTACAAATTCGTGAAGTTGGAGGGGTACTATACTACGAGGGGTACTTTGGTCTAAGAGGGAGGGTACT